GCCCGCAATCGATCCGCGCAGGCCGCTCTGTTTTATAAGGGTACAGGGTTATGGGAGAGCGTCAGCCTGCGTGCTAGTGTTTCGAGAGAGCACAAATAGGCAGGCCGCGTGATTGGGAGTAGAAAAATTGCAACGCCGTTGTTTCGCCAACACTGCAGACTTCCTAATGCGTCCCATGCTACTGCATCGCTGTATGGTACCTCCAGTCTTTCATACTCTCCTAAAACCACAGCGGTTGGCGCCGATCGATACACGATAGCTGCGTTCTGGTCTAAAGCACTGAACCGTAATGGCGGCGCGATGCAGCGTGTAGGCACGAGACATGACATGACAAAGTCTGAACGCTGTCTCAAGATTGCCTAAATGATTTCCTTCCTACACTTAATATCACCGCAGTTGTCGGGTCGCAATCAGCGGTTCTCACATGCGGCGTTTCCATCATTGGTTGTTTCCTTCCTAAATCGATTTCTACCCGATCGCCATTGGTAGAGCAAGGGAGCCGAACGCGGACTCGAACCGCGCTGCTCACGCCGCCTCCGACAGTCCGCAATGATGAGGACTGTATGTGGCAAGGGAAGCATACTTGCATTGTTAAAACTCTTGCAGTTATTGGTTTACGGGCCTATTAGTACGAGGAAGTCATGGAATGAAGAGATGTGGACTTCTAGATGTCTGCTTTTACCTAGCTGGCATCGCAGTGTGTTGATTAGGGCGGTCGTCAACGGGCCGCAGCGCGTGCCAGGAACTATTTGCTTTTTCCAGGCTAATTTAGTCATTTTTCCAACTTTTCACTGTTTTGGCTACTTTTTCCAAGATTAGCAGCTCCTTATCTTCACAAGGTGGAAAAATGACTAAATTAGTCTGGAAAAGCAAATAGTTCCTGGCGCGCGCTGCGGCCCGTTAACGATCGCCCTAATCAACTGCCCGGATGACGAGGTTACCTAGCTGGCATTTGATTTCTTGCAAAATTTCGAGTTTTCATGATAATACGGGGCAATCAGGTTGCCACCGCAACACTGAACCATTTTTCGACAAGAGCAAAATGAATGCATTTTTATTATCGCGAGCTCTTCCAGTATTTTCTTCGCATATATTTTGTGAATACAGATGGAATCGAAAATAAAAGCACAGGAGAGATGTCAGCGATTCGGCGAGCGGATGAACAGGGTACCCGCTTGCCTTCCCGTTTTCCTTCATGAATGTAGAACATGCAGATCACCAGATCCTGGAGTGGGTCTCTCGTCGATAGAAGCTGAAATTTGCAAAAATTATTGGTAATTTGGGTTTTGGAACTCCTAGTAGCTAATGGCCAGATCGTTTTAAACAGTGAACGACATAATGTTATTGAAGGTGTGGTTTCTAGTTCCTCTAAACAACAAGAGGGAACAACAAGAGGGATGAAGAAGAGCTGCGTAACAATTTCGACAAGTCTCCAAAAAGGTGTTGGGTTGCTAAACAATCCTTTACTTATCTGCTACCGCTTAAGCATCTCGTAAATGAGTACTGCATATTTTTCCCTGTCAACACACCGAGCAACTGTAGGTCATCCCATTCAAAAGTGCCGTCGGTTTTTTTCGAATAAAACAAAGAGGAGAATAGATAAAAAAGTAATATTTTGGCTTCAAGTTAAGTAAATCCCTCCTTCACCAATGACCCGCTCCCAGTGCCCCGAAAGCCTTTGGACCTCTGGTACCTTCGATTTTTCAAGTGCGAGTAAATTGCTGTTGATGCCAATTTCGGCGAATGACAAAACATTGTAGCGTTTGCCGTCGGAGAGTACCCTCGACTGACCAGAACAGTTGGAATCGCTCGGCTTTATGTGAACGGGGCGAT